ACGCTCTTCTTGATCAAGAAAACAATCTCATGATTCCGATATCACACTCTTGCATCTGATCAGAAAATCAAACAAAAGAACGAACAAACGAGTCGGAAAGATAGAGGGATTCACCTCGACAAAACCACCGCATCCCTTGATCGAATCCGCGGAGACACCGTAAACTGTAGAAATCGCAATGAAGAAGAAAATCAAAGAACCTCGAAACGCCGTCGGGAGAGCCATTATTTCCGATGAGAGGCTCCGATGAGGAGCTGAGGTAGAAGAGTGTTCGTAGACGAAGCAGTCCGATCTGAACGTTGTGATCGGTTTAAATAAGGCCTCGAGGGTTTTGGAAATTACGAGGCCCGTCATCGGGCCCTTAATTTCCAAGGATAATATGATTTGCATTTTTTTTATATGTAGAAAAAGGTAGTAATAATCAAATTTTATTAATTCAAAAAATGTCAGCCCACATATATTTATATGGGCCAAACCCGGTTTTCCAATGAAAGAAATTGGGCCTTTAACACGACGAACCGGTCCAATTACCCAAGAAAATAAAATATCTTTTTTGCCTCAGATAATTTGGATTCTTTGTAACTTAAGACCCTCTACACGAAAGAGAGTTTCTTTATATGACCCTTTACCTATTGTGAGGAGATCGAGGCCGTTCACTGGCTCACCAAACCATCACATCGGAGCCGTTCATATATACAAATCACCAACTATTAAAACACACAATTTCTCAGATGTTGGTACTCCGGCTCCATCATCATATATACGTATATACATATAATAAGTTATCTAAGATTATCAAACTCTTCATGTTTTTAATAATATACTGTTTTTAAATTATTATTATTATTTTTTGAAGACATGATACAAGATGTTCTATGATTAGGAGATAGTTGGATAGATGTCATGCGCACCCAGTACGCCGTCGTTTCCTCGCTGCAGTTGACAATTGGAATTTGGGATGGATAAGTCTCAATGGCAACTTATTATTTTAAGATAACTAATATACGGAATTCTATTTCGGAACTAATATTCAAAAATCATACGTATCATTATGTTACGTATTTTCCACGACTTCCATTCTAGAAAACGTGCCAAATGTATTTTTTTGAGGGATTGGAAAATTGTTGTACTCAACATTATAAGATGGACGGTAGATTTATGCATGCAAATGACTCACCAATTCATAATTGATTTGACCCAATAACATTTAATTGAGAGATAAACGATCATTATTAAGCATAATTATTCGAACCATGTCAATATATGTATGTATATTGTATATACATTTCGTTAATAAGTATTAAAGATTCTTTTGTCATGAACCTAACTCAAACTATCGACGTGGCAACCACTCCTTCACCTTCCCTTGCAACACAAACCTCGAGAATAACATATATAACACATTAAAACCATTATTGTTTCTCGATCTCCCATCAAGCTAACGTCTCCGTCGTCTTCTTCCTCTCTCGAAGCAAATAAAAATGGGCGGCGGGCGGTGGTGGCGGCCGATGAAGACGGCGGAGGAGGTGGTGGTGGAGCCTTTCCGGTTAATAACGGCGGCACTCCTCAGCCTCCTCCTCCCTCTCTCATTCCTCCTCCTCAGCCGCCTCTCCTCCGCCGCCTTCATCCTCTCTCTCTCCGCCACGTCATCGCCGCCACCGCAGCAGACCGATGCTTCCTTCTTCTTCTCTATCTTCCTCTACACGAACCCGGCTATCTTATACGCCATTGTTTCGTCCGTAAGCGTTTACACTCTAGTGCACGGCCTAACCACCAAGATCGCCACCGCTAACACCGACCGCTCGATCATCTTCTATCCACGTGTCGGAATCGCGTGGCTCATCCTCTTCCTCTTGCAAGTTTCCGTCGGGTTAGGGCTCGAGGGAACGATCTCGGAGGGGGTTAACGGAGTAATCATCGGGAAAGAACGCAACTTTTTGAGCAAAATCGTCTTCTTCTTGGGCCTTCACGAGGTTATGCTTCTTTGGTATCGAGTGATAGTGAGGCCAGTGGTCGACGACACGTTGCTCGGAGAGTGTCGTGACCGGGGCGAGACTCTGGTCGAGAGGGCGGTTTTGGCCGTGAGCTGCGGGACGTTGTGGTGGTGGAAGCTACGGGACGAGGTGGAGGCTTTGGTGGGCGTCGCCGAGGCCAAGAGAGCGTTGTTGTTATCATCTAATCTCGATAGTAACATTAATTACAATGTGGAAGTTGGAATGGTGGATTTTGTGAATTGGTGGTTATATTATATGGTCGTGACGATTGGTATGGTTAGGATCGTGAAAGGGTCGCTGTGGGTCGGTATGATTTTGCTCTTCGAAAGGGTTAGAAGAAATCCACGTGGAATTTCCGCTTCTTCAACGGATAACGATCATGGTGGAGACGACGGCAAAGTGTAAACCACACATCTGGAAAATCCGGATGTTTTTCTTTTAGCTCATTCAATCGTGTAATATTTTCGGACAATAACTAGTTGGATTTTGTCAATGTGGCCAAATTAATAAAAGTGGTGCATATGCCTAATCTGAAGAAGAAGGCTTATCATAATTTTTCTGACTTTGTTTCAGAAAGAGTTAATGGCTGCTCGAGTTGTTACAGGTTGTCGTGGGAGTCAAAGTTGAGACAAAACATGGTGCTGATAGCTCTGTCCGATCAAGGGTTTATTTTAAATTTATTTTAAATGATTATTGACTCTGTAAAATAAATTATTGTATCAACTATCAAGCTGCGCGCACACCAAAAAAAAAAAAAAAAAAAAAAAAAAATTGGACCC